CCATTGCTTTACCTGCCATGTTCCTTCATTGACACTTTTACTATCTAACATTTCATATATCTAGGTGTGTTTTTAATTTTTTAAAATTCAGTGCAGTGACATTTGTCAATAAAATTATATCGGTGTCAGGTATACAATTCTGAAATACATCCTCTGTATATTGTATATTGTGTTCACACCATTGCTTTACCTGCCATGTTCCTTCATTGACACTTTTACTATCTAACATTTCATATATCTAGGTGTGTTTTTAATTTTTTAAAATTCAGTGCAGTGACATTTGTCAATAAAATTATATCGGTGTCAGGTATACAATTCTGAAATACATCCTCTGTATATTGTATTGTGTGTTCACAGCCTCAAGTCAAGTCTCCTTCCATCACCATTTATTCTCCCTTTACCCTTTTTTACCTCCCCTACCTGCCCCATTTCCCTCTGGTAATCATCATACTCTTGCCTGTGTCTATGTGTTTTGTTTTGTTTTGCTTTTTTGCTTAATCTCTTCACCTTCTTCACCCAGCCCTCCAACCCTCTCCCCTCTGCCAGCTGCCAGTCTGTTCTCTCCATCTATGAGTCCATTCTGTGAGCTGACTTCCACACTGAAATGTAAACTCTATGAGAGGAGGGGCATTGTCTCCTTTGCAGCTGTGCCCCTAGCATTTGAAACAAGGCCTGGCACGTCATGGGGTCTAATAATGCTCCATGAATGCATTCGTGGTTGAGGGCTTGATAGAGTCAATGGCCCCTATGCCCAAAGAGTTGGCCTCAAACCTGGCAAATGAACACTATGGATACCTTGCCCTCTCTGATGGCCATTAGGACACGACATTGCATGAGGACTAAAGTCAAATTTAAAGAGAACAGCAGGGCTAAGGAAGAACCTTCCTTAGCACTTCATGTAAATCTTATAAAGGATGCATAATTCCTCCTTAATCTGAGAGCCAGGCCTAAAGTGGAGTTTCCATCATCCCTTTAAGGCTACTCCAAACAAACAAACAACAACAACAAAACACACACAAACATATGAACAAACACAATCGATAAA